CTAAACTGTTAAAGGAAACGTACAATCGCATTTAGTTATAATTTTTCACAGTGCTATGCGGAAAAAAGCTACCCATAAGAAATACGGTGTTTTCTTCAGGAAACGATGCTTAACATAAAAATTTACTAGTTGGATGATCTTTTCGTGTTGTTATGAACGATGACTTACTCTCCGAAATACGCGGATTCAAATTGTTCCCATTCCGTTTTACCTTCATTGATTACCTTTTGGAAGAAAGAAAAGATGCTCTTCATACAGTATTGTGTACTAAAATTAGAAAAAACTTTGTAGCTCAACTTCGTTATGCAAAAAATTGTCGGAAAAGTAATAAAATCCAGGCTTTCCTTTACACCTCTTTAGGTTCCTACTGGTTTTCTTGGAAGCCACCACTATACATCTATTACTAGTATTGACTTCAGTCTTCAAGCTACAGAATTTCCAGTCAGTTGGTGCAGGTTTGTCCTGTTTTTACTGCTTGGCAGTGACGTCATATAAAAAATTTCATGTGTTATCAACACGAAGTGCAAAATATCTATACGATTTCGTTTTCGCTTGCATACTCAAAAGGACGGCGGGATTTAATCCATCCTTATGTTGTATATCGGAATTTTCAAATAATTGATCACAATAAAAATTTTTTAAAATTCCACTTTTTTTATTTCCACAAGGTTCGGCTTGTTACCCCAAACTCGAGAGGTATGCCGACTACTCACTGGATTAACAGGCGTCACAGATATATTGCCACTGTGCTGGAGGAACACAAGTCGGATGGAACCCAACTTCCCTCCGATCCGCAAAGACCAATAACTGGTTGTGGTTGCGAGCGAACTGAGAACGCCCTAGCTTGGTTAACTCCGAATTTTAAGGAGGATCAAACTCGACCAGTACCTAATATCGAAGGAAAATTTCAAATCCGTAACGAGCACTCGAGTACATATATTTACGAATGTCCTCGTTGATGAAGGTTAGAAAATAACGAAACGAATACAGGAAGAGTTAACAACCAAACGAGATCTGGAGACGGAACATCTAGAAGTCTAAGTAAGTAATTTTGCTTCTGGAAAGGCTTCATTAGAGATAAAACTGAAAGGGTGCGAAAAGTTTGCCATTGACGATTCCACACGTCGCAAACAGGTTAAAAGTATTCTTGAAAGAAATTCTGATATCCGTCGTGGGCAAAGTTCGTGATGGTCGTATAGGATTGACAGCGAAGAAATCGTGCCTAGGCTGAAGTCGACAAACAACGAACAACTTAAGGGATACAAGGAGAACTTAGTACTAATCAGACCTACCGTTTCGAAGTGTTTAGCTCGCTTCTTTTTGACTACCGTAAAAATTGGTTTACATCCGAAAAAAGCAGCGGGTATATATGATGGGGTTGGGGCCCCTATATTATAGGCGGCTACCAAAAACCAAGTTATCAATGTAGAAAAGTGTTTTGTTTCAATTCGACAACAGTGAACTACTCATGCTTCTGGCCGTTTGCCAAGAACTTTTGGGTCTTAGCTGGGATAATTTGCCTCATCCTTTTATTCAGCAGACGTTGTTCCCTTTAGGTATGTAACACTCAGCGGAGAAATGTCTTTTTTATTCATTGCCTACTATTATTCTTTTTTCACAGGACCGCATGATATGAAATACAACCACTATAATGCTGAATTTCCAAAACTTCAAACCTACTCCAGATTGCAGCCCGCGATTATCCTTTTCGGTGGATGACTTGTTACCCACTACACCATTGAGGCCTTTGGTCCATCTTTCTCTCAGCATGTTCTTTACCCTAACGGTGCCATCAGCAATCGCTCATCAACAAGAATGATCTATGGTGCACAAATCGGCACTAAATCCAGTTAAGCTGAGGCTGTTTAACTTAAATAAGGAAATAAATAATTGATCAAATAAGGAAAAACTTAAATAAGAATAATTATGTAAAGAAAACCTAATTAAGTAAATTAAATAAAAGATAAAAATAAAAGGCTAAGATAACAATAAAAGATAGAAATAAATTAAATAACAGTAATAAGAAATACGTGATTAAAGCTAGGTAGGGTCTAAGTCCGATTTGTGCTCTGCAGATCATTCCCGTTGATGGGTAATCGCTGATGGGACTATTAGGTAGAAAATTGGCTGGGAGAATGGCAAAGCAAGAACTTTAGTGGTTCAATGGGTAACACATCATTCTCCGGAAAGGGTAATCTCATGTTCGAATCTGTACCAGGGTCCAAGATTTGCAACCATACCAGCATCGTTATGGCTGTGTTTCACTCAGCGGAACAGTTTAAACTGTAGGAAATTCATCTATACGGATGTTCACTGTCTGAATCAGTTCACTACTCTGATATCCCAGATGTTCTACCAGCTGTCACATCATGCAGCCATTGGGAAAATGGCAGACCGTCAAGGAAAAATTACATAAATCTCGTGTGCAGATTTCGACAAAGAAAATGACGAGCACAGGTCGAACATTCGTATCAATCCAACAGAGAACTCCTGCGCGACATTCACATATCGTTCCCGTAACTTTCGAAAAATTTAAGAGTTTTCGATTCAAGGAAAGTCCGTCGGTTTAGTACCTTTTAATGCTCCTAAATTTTTGTCAAACATTCTTTTATTCAACAGTAATTTAACGACATTGATAACTTTCTTATAAATTTTCGACATGACCAAACTGAATGGTTCCCTGATTACAAAGACTACCTCGTACGTGTACCTTGGTTATTCAATGAACATGAAAGACAACTTAAAAGATGAAGCTCTTTGCGTCGATCAATCCCTAAGGGATGTGCCATGAGCTCGACGTGGTCTACCGATGTATCAGACCAGTGCTGCTATATTCCTAGAGATTTTTGGTACCAATTTACCGTCATCGGAGAGATTGAAGTCTTGGTGAGTCTTGGGCGCTGGTATCGATCCCGTATATATTGAAAGGCGCCTCAGACGATTGTGCTACTCGCGCCGTTTTAAAGGACAGCGTGGAGGCATTATCCAAAAGAAGGAGAGCATCTTGGGCCGCATTCGAACTTATCAATGAAGCACCGACCAACTGAAGAACACGAAAATGCGCGCTCGCTCCTAATGCTCGGTTACGCAGTAGAGACGTGTGCTGCTACTTCAACTAGGCCCAGAAATTTGCGCATTACCCGCAGTGTGCTTGTACGATCTCTTAGGCCGTACAACCTGTACAACCGACAAGGACAACATACAGAGGGAATGTGCATCTTATATCTTTGAAATCTACCTAATCTTCAAGAACCACGAGAACATAGATCGATATAAGAACTGTAGAGTGAGACACGTTGTGTGAACGTGCTCGTAGCTAAAATCAAGCAGTTGTATTCATAGCTGTAGTTGTTTTACGGATCACCGTATGAGATTCGTACCCACCACCATGCTTGAATCAAACCACTACCGCGAATGGCGATTGCAAGGCAAAGGAATAAATGGAAAGCGTTCCAAGACCACAGACAAACCAAAATGCTGCGTCCGTATTCTCATGGCTGATTAGTTTCAAAAGTGCACAGCTGTTCGTTAGCAATAAAAGTGAAGAATGCGTAGTAGTCTCTGGTTAAGCAATATAGGTAATGGACAGAAATATATGTAGTGTTTCCTTGTTATCGATCGTGTCCTGCATAGGAATTCTCTACTCAGAACCACCAAAAACCAAACAATTATCAAAGTACTATATGCAATAGATCTTAGGACTTTATTTATCAACCGTTCTAGGTGAACTTGGATGTGTGCACTGTCACGTTCCTTATCTTGTCAAAGTTCCTACGATAGTGGCTGTTAATATTCTCAGCTGATCTCTGATAAGTTAACGCTTATCTCATTCACGACAACTCGGTCTCTGAAGTGAACAAATCGAAATGCCTCCACTCACTCGCACGGACTACGTTGTCTAGCCAAGTCCACCATACATGCAATAGAACGATATCCACATGACCATGTGTCCGTCTAAAAATGCTGGTAGCCAGGTGCTTCTATTTTTTTTCTATTTGCTTACCAAAAGCAGTTGATAAGGAATACCTGTCGGTCGTAACTTCGAGATATAGCTACGTAGACCGCTTTATTGGTGAATACGTGTGAAAAAAGTGCTGACACTTGTTTACGGATTGGCTCTGTCAACTAAACCGTTCATTTAAATTCCTATACTATGTCACTTGTTAACAAGTTTTCTATTACGATATTTTCTAAGATATTACACATAACAAGCTTATAGCGAAATACGATGGCGAGACATCAGTTTCAATAACTTTAGACTCGACCCCCAGACTAAACGCCACCAGATCACTAATACTCTACGGATCGTGCTATTGATAGAAGATCCTCATTTACATTCATCCATTTAAGTGACCTTGTAAGCAATATTCTAAGCTACTAACATTTACCCAACGTGGACGGCATCCAGATCGCAGTCCTCAGAAACAGACTATCAGGGGAAAAATGGTCTACTTAGTCGTTGTGACTGAGTGTAAAGTGTTCTTGGATGTTGAAATTTGGTGCACATCTACTGGGAACGTCCCCATACAATATTACTCAATGTAACATCACCGCTGGGCCGGTCATCTATGATGGAACCTATGCCACGGAAGATCACGACGTCCAGTCCGTTTATTTTCTAGCCGAAAGGAATATAAACATCCCTTTTCCAAGAAATTCTTGCAAAGTAGCCAGGTTTATTCTCAGAGACATTAAAAATAAGGGACCTTAAATATAACCCAAAATGTCTGCAGATCGAGGTGAACACACTGAGCAGTTCTGAGGCTTTGCTACAAATAAATAATGGACGTTACGTAATAATCCAAGGAGTAACCTGTGATTTTTCAGATGAAGCATTTTATTATGCGTTCCATGTTTTCTATGGTGTTAGGGCGGTCATATATAATATTCTTATATGGAAAGGAAAATAGTTCATCGGAAAAAACAGCTAGAATCAGTGCTGGAAGATGTCATTCATTTTCATTCATCTTGGAGAATCTCTTGCTAGCGTCGTTAGGTTACTAGCGAGTAAAACAAAAATTTAAGTAGATTTTCGCAGCAGAGGTAGTGCTTATTGAACTTACCAGATTGGTAACATTTGAACCTTTTTCAACTAATGAGTCATATAAAACAACTAATTTGGTTTTTGGCTCATAATCCACCACGACGTAATGAACTCTGTCAGGATCGAAAATAATTTGATGAGCTGGCCGATCAACGCTGACAAGTGACTTCAGTGATTGTGGTTCTACCTAAATTGAAAAGTTTTCATTTGCCTAACAAACGCTACTGTAGATAGGAGTACAGTGCACGACAGTTCAGCGAACACCGTACTTCTTCGTCAAAAAAAAATCTTGCTCCTACCAGGACAAATTGAATTGCTAGACAGCCATCAATTTTACGAGGACATGCAGCTTGAAGTCGGTCACAGAACGTGTTCATCAAATCGTCCATCAAGCGATCACCGTATTGCATCTAAAGCATCTTAAAACAGTGATCTCCAAGACTTTGGGAAGTCTCCAATGGGCTATGCCTTCTTGGACAACTGCTGAGGCCAGTTTTCTAGAGGAATGTACTCTCGTGGAGACAAAAAAAGGATCTATAGTAGAACTATATCTTATTTTCTGTAAACAACGCATCTCTATAGCTTATTCTTTGTGCACTATGAGGAATAAGCAATCAAGGAAACAGTAGAATATAGGATAATGCTCATGTAAGCTAAAGATAACCATGCTCAGCAACGACCGCTCATTTTTCGTCTGAGGGAGATTGATGTGTTGTATCGCCTGTAGCAACGCAGACCACCAAAATACCACGCACGAAAACTCTGGCGTTTTCGGTAGACATGAAATTACTGTTTAAAGTTAAGGGAGGATTTTCAACAAATATAAGCCATTTGGTAGCACACCTTGTTAGTCATGTCATTGCGCTGCTGCCGGTTACAGTTATGTCCAACTTGAGATTTAATGAAACGAGTAAAAGTAATCTCACCTCTCCATTATCGATGGTTGTTGGCGCTTTAGCCACATCCGAATCTAAATTGCTTACAACGCTAACGTTGCTCTCTGAGTGACTACTCTTCTCCCTGTAATAAAACTAGCTGAAATACTGAAAAGCAGGTTTACGTGAGCGACCCTCTTCATATCTATCCAGATTTTAGCTTTTTTCCCCGATTTTAGTGGCAGCGTTTTTTTTTTTGCTTTAATAGCGGAAGATGTGAATCGTCATATGGAGACAAAAAAAGGGGCGGAGAGAATGGTGGTAGTGATGTCCGTCATCAAAAGCTTGGTACTAGTTCGATCCTGCTCCGAGCCAACCAAGCCTCTCATATCTCCGGGGTCGGGGAATTTGTACCGGACTTGTCTGGGAAAAAAATCACTCTGCAATCCAGATGGAAACGCTCCAGCCTGGCTATCGCAGGACTCCAGAGAGAATTGCTCGACCAGCATTCTACAACATCCAAGATGAAATGAAAATCCTCAAGCAGCACCCGAAGCCACACGTTAAAGTTGGAAGATCTTCGTGGGCGATGGATACCGCACAGGAGACGTTAAGACTGATCATATGAAATAAAAAAATAAAAATATCCGAAGCGCTGCATTAATTGTAAGAAAATTAATCGATGTTAGCGAGATTCTGTCGAAAGTTATGATTATACAGAGAAACCGAAGCTCACAAATGGTTAAAGACAGTAATCTGCACTATTAAGAGCTCCGTTCGTGAATTTTCGTTCACTAACTGCATAAGAGGCTTTAACTATTTCCTGACTTTCTTTCCTCTTCTTCATTTCAAAGAACTATTGTGAGAAAAAAGTTACTGTAAGAGTTAATGCTTTATAAAAAAAGCCTTGGCAGCAAATTTTTGTGTTAGTGTACTCCATCGGAACAGCTCTTTCTAAATAGCAACCATCCCAACTTCGTAAAGAAATGTTATTTTTGTATAATTCGATGCCATGTAATTCACATGAGATTTAGCTTCGTGCATGGTCAGTTATTTAAATGGTGATATAATAATCAAATAAGTGAGAAGTAGGGAGTATAAAAAGCAAATAGTGGAAGCAAATAGAAAACAAAAACAATCTAGTAATTGTCTTAAGAGCCCCAGTATATCCCCAACTACAATTTTCTTCCTTGAGCTACATGCGCGTTATCGACACACCAACCATTAACTTAACTGCTTTCTTTGGTAGATTAACAGTTAATACTCACCATTGTTCAGTTATTTTCTCATTTTTACTCATTATGATCGCACGTTGGATAAGAAATCTACTTCTAATGCTCGTTCTTCTTCCCGGTAGACGTAACTCACTAAACGAGTCACCTTTGGTAATGGTTTGTCACCATACTACGATGAAGAGACTTGAGTGTTTTCTGCTTTTTACTTTAACTGTGAACTTCAAGAGTGGTTCATACAAGTATCTCATCGTTCCATATAAGCAGCAATGGCGAAGGGTTAGTGTTATGAGAGAGTCGAACTCACTGAATTGTCAAAAATGTTTCTTGGTTATCTGTCGCTTGATGGCAGTTAGCCACTGCTCTACGGTAACATTTGATGGAAAACCTTTGACAAAATCGTTTATGTCTAGTTGTTGTTTTACGTCTAGAGTTTTATCGTCTTGTTATTTTCAGTCCTTGAGTTTAATGGATGAGAAATAGTTGTTTGCAATAAATACTAATCATTAGAATACGCAACCTCTCAACGGTTTACCGCCTCATCGTGGCTAGGTGACGGACTGAGATGTACAGTGAGGGGATTCGCCCCCGCGGCAGGGTCTTCAAAACTGTAGAGTCCGGCATTTCCATGAGGAAACCTGGCTAAGAGTAAACCAACATAAGGATCCACCACCGTCCTGGTATTAAAGTCGCATGGTGGCAAATCTCCCTCTGATCTATAAGGGCTACGACTGCTTGTAGTGTTGAAGACCCGGGGTAGACTTATGCCAGGCTCACGTCGGAATTCGAAGGAACCACAATGGCTTAACCAGCAAATCTCCGAAAAATGATAGTTATGCTGGGGTCCACACCGCACAACCAGTGAGAACGGGCCTTTCAAGTATCAAGTAAGTATCAAGGAGGCACAAAGCTATAGAATTGTTAGGCAATTAACTACTTTTACGATGTGTTTGAACTTGACACAAACTGAAAAAATTCTTTGTGTTGCAATAATTTCCCTTCATTCCACTAGGAAATGTTTCACAGCTGTAGAATTGTAAAAAAAAATGCGCATTTTCCGGCACAACTTGTTAGACACTAGATTTAACCCAGCTAGTTGTGTACCTTAACTGTATAGTGGGCCACCTTAGAAGCTAAAGAACGACAAAACTCTCAGCCTTGATGTCCGTGTATTCGACTTTACTAAGCATAGTTAGAGATGAGTGAATGTATATTTATTCTGCATAATAGCTTGCAGTGGACTACTAATTTATTAAGTCAGTTCTGCTATCCTCCCAGACAAGTCTGGCACCACTTTGTTGATATGGAGGAGATAGAAGTGTGGAGCTCGGGCGCGGTATTGAACCAATAATCGTGTGTGTATTGCACTGCACCTCTAATCGTTGCGCTATCCGTGCCCACTGCTTGGTTGTGGAGAAAGAATCACAGAAGGCCTTGATCATTCCGAACAAAATCTATCAACAGGCTGAGATTAGGTTGTACAAGCCCACAGTGTGTACGATTCTATGGTTAATAGCACGTGTACATGTCTAAGTTATGGACAACAAAAACCGTCTTGAGTATTTATAATCGGTTATAATTCAGGGGTTAGTGAATAGGCAGACTTTAGTCGACGAATATTTGAAGGGAGACGGTCGATGAAAAAACATGAACCGAAGTTATTGTTAGATATGGATATTGTTATGGATATTGGATATTATGGATAAGAATGAATGGATATTGTTCGCAAAGCGATCACTTCAGTTATTCTGTTTGTAACTCGGTTTACTAGGCAGTTACTATATTGCCAGCACCACCGCTTCGACGATCAATTGCTACAGAATTAACTGAAGCTTCCTGACAGTTGCTATGCCTAACAGTGTTCTCATACTGTGATGTAAATGGTATCATCGCTGGATGGTCGATTCACATTTATTATACCGTACTGTTCAATGTTGGCTGTGACAACAACTGAGGAATTCATGACAAGTTGCACTACGGCATTCACAAGTTATGATTCCCAATAAGGGCTAAATTTAATGCGTTCTTGCCAAACACATTTCGTTGCAAACTTTCATCTTACCGATGTACTGAATAAACCTGTACAACTTACGCTCGTTTTCCTTCGCCTGCTTCAGTGGTTCACTTTGGTGGCTGATCGCTAATTGGCCAGCCTTCTGAAATTTGCGACATTTCTGATCAAAGATGTTCACTTTTGCAGCACTAGCAAGAATTTAGTAGCATATCTGAGCTGAGCTTTCATTCCGCAGATGAGTCCGAGAACCAGCCTTTAGTTTTCTAGAATGTTAGACCCACCTAAACAGAGGACGTCAACAAGTGGACAGCACCACCTCCAGCAGTTCTCTCGGTGATTTAATGAGGTTGTGTTTGCTTAGTAGTTTTGCTATAACCAACCGTGATTGTTATCACCCTTCAATATTGCACATGTTCTCATACAATAGGTTCATTAAGTGACCGATGGTATTAGGATGGCGGTTGTGCGTTAGATTTACGTTTCCACATTTACGACCTAGTGCTGTTTAGTATTACTATCCTCTAATACATGTGTGGGAGCGTCGGAACGTTATAGCCCGGTTATCTCAAGATTCCAGAAAGAATCGACTCGACCAGCATGCAACTGAACTTGTGAAAGAGAGGAAAATATTTTTAAAGAACACCTGAACCCAAACGCAAAAATAAAGTTCGGGGAGCTTCGTAGATGGTGAATGTGAGGAGACGAATCGAGCGCAAGAAGTGCTGGGATCCGAACATTGTGATACATATAATGTCCGGTCATGTAAAAAAAAAAGAGTGGAGCTCTCGGCATTCAGCAATCCATGAGCGATGCGCCATGCACTCGACTTCATTAAGCATCGTTTGGCGGTGACTGAATGCATATCTGGCTTATAGAATGACTCGCGATGGCCTACCGATGTATAGGATCAGTGCCGGTATACTTTCAGACAATTCTGGTATCGATGTGCCGACATCAAATAGATGGAGGACTTGGTGAGCCTGGGACGAAGGCATTAACCCTTGTGTATTGCAGGACGCCTCTAACCACGTCTACACGCACTCTCATGTAACGTCGGGCCATTTAACAACATCAGTAGAATGACGATGTGCTTTACAATGATTCACGGTGGCCTATCGATGTATCGAGGCCGTGCTGCCATCCTCCTAGACAATTCTAGCACCAATTTGCTAACCGCGGAGGGATGGAAGAGTTGGTGAGCCACGGGAGCGCAGATCGATCCCATGCGTGTATCGCAGGGCGCCTCCGACCACAGCGCCACACACGCACTGTCATTCTGTATATTTAGTATTTTATAAGAAAATGTCTTTCGAATGAATTTATTTTGCTCTGAGAAACTGTTTTTTGTCAACAGATTACCCACTACAGAAACTGTTTGCGGGAGAACCATAAGAATTCAAATTCAGTTAGAGCTGTAGACTTCTGCCTACGTCACCAGACTATAGAAAACACGACGGAGATCCGTTCGCACCAATGAGACGATTTTATTGTTCAAATCCGATTGAGTATAAATTAATGTTAAGACAATCTGACATATATTAAGTAGCACTGTTCTATAGACCGCGTTATCCGTACCCCAGTAGTTGTAAGTTTCTCCTCATACATAAAATACTTCATATGAGATTCTGGAAACCAGAACGAATATCTACTAAACCATATAGAATGTATTTTCAGAATTGTGTTGTATTACACCTAAGCAAGAAATTGTGACATTTCTACGCCAATCGGCATATGAATTCAAAAAAGCACATCTCTGCAGAAACAAGATCAACCATTAATCCAACAGACTAGGACCTATGTGATACAGTTCGAAAAAAACACCTGAATTGTATGAACAGATGTTACTTGAGTAATAACCTTGCACAGCTCACTGAAATCTCCGAGACGAAGGTGGTTTCTCGATAATTTCTTCAACTTTTCGTAAATATTTTCCGATTTTCTTCTGAGTTTCTTCTGAGTGTTTCATGAATTCAGAACTTTATAGATTTATAGAGGTGGGCTACGTCTTACCGCACTACTAGCACGTATAATTCTACGAAGTATTTCCACAACTAAGGATCTTTATTGCTAAAACTCTCGGGTCTGTGCCATGCCTAAGACTCCTCACAACCGTTTACACCCTCATCGTGGCTGGGAAGTGTTCCTGGGTGTCGGACTGCGATGCACAGCGAGAGACTCATGACCTGGCAGGATCTCCCAAGCTGAGAAGGAGTTCGGGTTTCCATCAGGGAGCCCAGCTAGGAGTGAGCCTATGTCAGCATTTGTCACCGTGCTGGTATCAAATTTGTCGCATGGTGGTGGAAAACCTCCTTCTGATCTACGAGGACGGCGACTGCCTGTGGTGGTGTAGACCTGGGCAGACTTTGGCCAAATTGACCTCAGAACTCCAGAGAAGCACATTGGCTAAACCAGCAAAAGTCCGAAAAATGGAAAATTACTCTGGGGCCAGCACAACCAGCGAAGGCTGGCCATTCAAATATCAAGTAAGTATCAAGTACCAAAACTTCCAAACGACGATAAGACTTAAGACTTTTGGAACCTCCAACGAGGGAATAGCACCTATACAAATAAATTATATGTTGAAGCACACCATAGTGTCCTGGACGAAATCCTGTCTGTTCATTTGCTTACGTGTCTGAAATACTAGCTTCGAAGCAAAAACGTGGTGTAATTGCATGCCTTAAGCTAAGCAACTGGATTTCATCGTGGTAATAAAAACGACAAAACTCTCAGCGTTGATCAATCCCTGAGGGATACGCCATGCATTCAACTTCATTAAGCATCGTTAGCGGTGAATGAATGCATATCTGGCCTTTATAATGACTTGCGGTGGCCTACCGATGTATCGAGCCAGTGTTACTATGCTTCTAGACAAGTCTGGTACCAATCTGTTTACCCTGGAGTGATAGAAGGCTTGGTGAGCCTAGGACGTAGGGATCGACCCCATCTGTATTGAAAGGCACCCCCACCACTGCTCTACACGCCCCCCTTCATCGTGGTAAAATAAGAAAGCATTTAACCTGTAAGAAAGGATTTATAGATTTTAGAGGTGCCTACTGCACTTATGAAGACTCACTATCAGCCCAGATTGGTTGATTTAAAGTTAAAAGTGGCCATGATCTACGTATTCCATAACTTCCACTGAGGTCACGTCGTCGCATAAGGATTGAAACGCAGTCCCCTGTATTCCGAAACAAATTCAAGAATCAAAATTCAATATCACCACAGTGGAACTCAAAACTCGATCAAATATTTTATCGCTTGAGATACAATGGAACCATACAATCAGAATTTCATTCTATGCAAGTGGAGCTCTTCGCTACACATCGGTCCTTTAGGACACACCTGATCTTTGTCAGAAAATTAGGCAATTTCAAAAAATGAGTGAACAGTCGCCTTCGGTGAGGAATACTTTGCCAATACATTACAGTGACCATAATGACAACGTATCCATGAGAGAAACACAGGCAGCCAGCCGTATACAGCTGAATTGACAAAGTCCAAAAAGTAATGGAGAACACGGAAATATATGGGACTTGTTAGTTTGCCTATCCGTTTGCACAAACAAAAATATGAAAAGTGCCAATACTTGCGAATTCAACCGATGATATATACACACAAGGTGGGGTTACTTAAGAACGCAGTGAATACTCAGACTTATTTGAGGAAACGCAATTGTACACCTTAAGTCAATTTCTGTAATTTGCACAAAATCACTGCTCAAGCTAGTAATTAACCCTATCCAAACCGGTTAAAAATCTGCGTTGAACTTGAAGAGATCAAAATTCACATAGGTATATATATAAAATAACAGAATGGCAAGATGATCCAACCATACTAATACGTGTGCTGTCAGTAAAAAGCTTTGTAGGAGATTCAAAGATCGACATGATAGGCGAAAAACGACCAATCAGTCTATTTGTCACTATCCAGATTTGCTTGGTACTGTGCCATCTGGAATCGTTAAACAGTGATCTTACCTCAAACATCCTATGCGAAATGAATAATAAAACAACCAAATTAAAAATATTGTACGTCTTGAATATATTCAACACAAGTTTCGAATACAAAATTAAAGACTGAAAACCATCAGGAAAGAATGTAAGTCACCACTCACCAATTGGGGATTATAAGCAGAGAGGTCAAATCCTGGAGGCATTCCCATATGGCTAAGATCTTGACCTGGCAACATGCCTTGATATGGGTTAAGCATTGATGATGACCCAGCCAGCATGCCATAGTTAGCACCAGGGAGACCTAAAATAAAGCCTTAACTATAAAGACACTCATTGCATTGAAAGTGAATTGTTAAGTGGACACTGTTGGCGAAAACAGTACTCGTGACTTTTACACAAATTGAAAAGGAAAGGCTGAAGTGAGAAAAATGTAATCGGCTTCTCTAACAACTTTCTTCTCAGCTAAAAAACTGATTACACATTCTGTAAACGAATAGCGATACCTCCAAGACCATGGGCAGCCGCTTTCTTTGCAGCATACATGTTTGCTTCTTCTTGTGCTTTAGCAATATTCTTTTTATAACGAATTCGTTTGTTTCCAAACCAGTTGGACACCTTAATTCAAAAGGAGACTACATAAAGTTCACATGTACAAATACAGAAAATTCAAAATTGTGTGCTAAAAAATGCGCACTGAACAACCGAGTACCATAGCAAAAAAGAAAAAAGAAGACAGAATAAACGTCAAAATAAATACCACCAACTTGAGAAACTGTTATGTTACACTGTCGAGCAAGCTCTTCCTTAGCCTCCTCGGATGGATATGGATTGCTTAAGTGTGAATAAAAATACTCGTTGAGAACTTCTGTAGCCTGTTTCGAAAAGTTACGGCGTTTACGACTGAAAATAGACGACATACCATTATTAAAAGTTAACCAGGCTACTAACTGTTACGAATTATACTTGCCTGTCTCGATCTTTCCTATTTATGGTACATGAAAAAAAACTATCAGGTAGAACTACCGGTAAACAAGTTTGTAACAAAATCGAAACAAGCATACCGAGCATCAAGAAAACGACTCCTTAGAATCATTACTGCCTCACATGTAGATTGCTTGAGTTGAACTTGAATACCACTGAATTTCTTCTGGATTATTGATACCATTCGCTCAATTTCCTAAAAAACAAGATTCAAATATGGAGAAGGGCAATAAAGTAAAATACGGTTAACTGGTTGAGACAAAAAAAGACAGAAAACAACAATAGTGATAATAAATGATTAACAAGGGGCGGATAAAACATCGTGAGTGATGGATGCGAGGAAACGAATTGGATGTGAGAAGTGCTAGAATCCGCACAGTAAGATGGCTCAAATAAAATAAAAAAACTGATTAACCTACCTTCTGACTAATAGGTCGAATTCGTGATTGGTCTTTCAGCAACGACATCACATGCTGCGTAAATTCAGAGCAAGCCTAAAAATTGAAAGAGAACACATTGCTTTTACCAAATCCTGCAAGGGTAACCAGATTTGGTTCATCAACGCTCACCTCCTCATACTTCTGCAATTCTTGGTTATATACAAGCCGGATTTGACCAAGCTTTTGTCGATAATCGGCCTGGTCCCCTCCAGAGGCGTCACTCGACAACGGCGCGCCTTTATCGGGTCCAGCAACACCTTCGGCTACCTAGTTATAAATAAATCCTCACACTCTTTACGTCCATTACCAGAATTGTCACTTAAGTAAAATAAAAAACCGTCGAACGCTGAAAACATGAGATCATTAAAACTCACAAGCATATTATCCAATCGCATTAACTGTGGATCTTCTGGTTGGTCGTCGGTGGCTGTACGGATTTGTAGTGCTGAAAACTCTCAACCCACGACTTTTAAAATATCCTGCATAAAATAGGAGAAATAATCGATTTTGGCCATAGAAAAAGATAAATACAACTTTACTTTTATTATGCTTGGCAAAAAAAGGAAAAGAAGAATAAAGCAAGAAAGGTGGTGATGAATACTAACCTGTCTTTTCCTTTACCTCGCATAAAACATCAAATAGTGCTTGTCTCATTGGATGACACTGTAATGCATGCTTCCTAAAAATGTGGTAACACGAATCCATGTAAAGATTTATGTTCTTTTTATGCTTTTTATAAAAGATGGTGCACAGATCCGACCAGGCTACGTACTGCACTTCAAAAAGAAAGAAAAAGGAAAAAAACAATGAGACACTCACTTCACATTATCGTTGTCCTCAAGTGTTTGCTCAGAGATCTTTATAAGTTCCTGGAGCAGATCATTTAACGAACCTGGACTTGGGTCCATTGTGCCCACCATACCTGAACTGGAAAAAATACCCCATAAAGTATACGCGAAGTGCAGTAAAATGTTTCGTGAGAGCCACGTCACAAGAACACACTGGAACGATATGTGCAATCGTAGTACACCGACTATTAAAACGTTGACGATGACGATGATAAGGTACGTGAACTTCATGAAAGAGAATAAAAACTAACATTACGAAGAAAACAACAACCAATTAGTGGTTCTAGACGTTTTCTATCTACAGTATGAACAATGAAATGGAAGAATGGTGATGTAATAGAATTATAGGAGGTTTAAAGAGTTATACACTAGTGTAACATCACAAACTACGTTAAAAACGCAAAGCATTTGGCGTTTGTCTATGCTTCAAAAATGGGGCGTACCCTTGGTAATTAACCTAGACGGTAATTTTACGTACCGCAACAATAGATCACCTCGGTGTTTTTTATCCTTCCACAAAAATCTGGCACCCAATTTGCCGATCACAGGTGAAAGGAAGGTACGGTGTTCTTTGGGGAGCGTGTTCTAAACAACGGTCATTTGTGCATTACAACAAAATATAATATATAAACGGCGGATGTAGCACAGTAGTCGAAGGCCCCTGCACAAGGGGTCGATTCGCGCTCCCAAAGATCGCCAAGGTCACCAAGTCTTCCATTCCTCTAGGGTCGGTAAATTGGTACCAGACCTGTCTGGAAGGATAGAAGCACTGGCTCGATACCTCGGAATCACCTCCGACGATGCTTAATGAAGTCGAATGCATGGCGCATCACTCAGGTATTGATCAACATCGAGAGCTTTCTTCCTATAATATATAATTGCGCATATTACCATAAGTACACTACACTTCAACCAATATGTAGCCAAAACATGGTTATTCTTCAAGGGTTTGAATTTGAAGTTTGAAGAAATACATTCATCTATTCGTTAGCTGTCTTTCTGATCTGTTCACTTAAGGGAAATAAGCAGCATAAATTTTCGGTGGTGAACTTCATTTTCCATTGCAAAGCAGTTCACATCGCTCCGTTGCTGAGGATTGGATATACTCAGTGTGGTAACTTGCCAGGTTTGCTCAGAATTGACGTGAAGTTTACTTCTGCAATTGACTCCTAACCAACCCCATAAACTTTCCAGTCACATAACTGTAGGCTTTTGATCAAACTCTCTTGCAAGATAATCGATTGTAATCAATCGTAATGATTGAAGTACTTCCTACATATTGAAAAGCATAAATCACGACGGAGAGCTGCATTTTCATGTCCCTAGATGTTAACCTGGAGCAAGAAAATATAACTGATTTGATACACAAAGGAATCAGATACTCTAGATAAGAAAGAAACTTTGGACAAGGATCCTCTGGTAGTAAGAACAGAACGGATAAGCAGGAGTGAATTACAGAATGTTTGAAACACGATAGTCCAGAAAGAATACCTACAACTTTAGATGCTCACAAAAAGTAACAAATTTTCAAAACAGTCACTAACGGACAAAATAAAGATATTCGGATATGAACAGTGACTACGCTCTTTAGGTTAGTGATGTACAGGAAACATCGGTCACTAGAGGAGTTAAACTGCGTTAATCTCTAACACGACTCACAACAATAATGTTCCTATTCTTTTTCTAGAACGGATAATAGCATGGTTCAATCCCCGTCATAGATACCTGCGGTCCGGAGTTTTGAAAATATCTCACCATTATCGTAGTTGTCCTGTGCTAGAATTTCAACAGAGTTACTGCTCGAGATGTTAAGAACACCTACTCAGAGAAATAATAAGAGACGCATAGATGGAAATTCTTAGAAACTTAATGAAACTTCTACACCATCACTAAAAAGATAGCATGTGCATCATTTTGCAGGTGAATGATACTTCAATACAAGGCTTAAAAAGGGGAACTCGTCAGTAAGAAGAAATATAACTTCCAAATCTTTCAACGTCATTTTACCAATTAGGTTAAGGAATAAAAAAGGATAAAGGTACTCAGCGTTCGCCAATTCCTGAGGGGTGCGCCATGCATTCGATTTCATTAAGCGTCGTTGGAGATGATTGAATGCATATCTGGCCTTTACAATGACTCCCGATTGCCTACCGTTGTATCGAGCCAGCGTTGCTATCCAACCAGGCAACTCTGGTACCAATTTCCCCATCCCGGAGGAAAGGAAGGCTTGGTGGGCCATAGGGGCGAGGATCGATTCCATGTGTGTTGCAAAGCGTCTCCAACGACTGCGCCATATGCGCCCTAACTGGCTAGTTCACATATGCTTTTATGCTATATTTGTCAACAATATCACTACCATAAACAACATATCGTTACCATGAAGAATATCGAAAGGAACAAGAACGACGAAAGGATGTGAACATTTCAACTGAATACGGAAGACGAAGATTAGAGATTATTGATGATGACCGCCTCTAAACAAACATTATTTTCATTCCGGTTTATGGGTTCCGCAAAAAAAAGAAAGAAACGTCTAAATAGTGCTGACTAGCAAAACACAGAAAAACTAGAATACTTTGCCCCAACAGACAACACAAACACCACTGGCAAAACTAAACCTTACATAAGTACAACTGACCACGTAACACTACAACAGCTTCAAAGATCGTTTAAAAACAAAAACAACAACAACAACAACAACAACAACTCTCAAACCGACCGTCATTTAAGCTCGGAAGCAAAATGGTCAACATGTATAGAAATTGTTGAGCCTACACGAGGTCACAAGAACATTAGGTGGAAGCCTTACAGAAAGCGGCTCTGAAGAAGGAAAAATACGCTGAAACATCAGCTTCATCGTAATAAGGAATAATATAACACCTCGTGTTTGCTCAACAAGAATGTAAAGGAGAATACTGAAGTCGAGATATTCGGATTCAAGATTGCTATTGATTGTAGACAAGGGTAGCACAACAGAAATTAAGAAGCAAAAAAAAAAAAGAGAAGAAACAAACGTAAACATAATGAAAAAGCGAATGCGCCGAGAGATTTGAAGCAGTAAATTAAACCCTTCTGATCCGTAGATATCAAAATCATCTGCAACATCCATAGTTCTGCTACTCTATCTGCTGACTGCATTAGACATCAATAAATGTTCCATTCGATCCTGACTCTCACCGGAATTATCCACTGAACTCAGGTAGTTCAAGGAACACGATGTAACTCACACTTTCAGTATGAAATTTCCTATGTTTACTACTCCTAGGAATGACATCAGTTATGTGGCGTTAGCCTATTTGGGTGCGCCATCTAAACAGGAAAATCAAAAACAAATCAAACTAAATACTTACTGGTAAGGGGTTTCAATTTTTTTCAATTAGATCTCACGTATAGAAAAACCCCAGAACCAATATCAAAGTAGCAACTGAGTGGAAAAGTACTGGACCCATACAATCTTTCGTGAACATCACAGGCCACTGAAGTATTCAACTACAGCACTACTCATCATTTTCAGTACAAGTCATGATACATAAATGGTATAGCCGTCGCTCAGCTTAAACAAAGTAAACAAATGAAAGGAAATGAATGAATACCTGAAGCGCCTAAAGTGAAGAAGCTTAACAGTGAGAAGAAAAGACAAACCTTCTTTTAACGAACGTTTTGTAGACATGACTCGTCGACTATAAAAGTGATAGAAGTGAGAATATGAAAGAAGTATGTTTGAAAATGAAGAGGGAAAAGAATCGGAAAACAAAGATGCGGTATCTGCAGTCTAACAGTCCGCTTTGTTGGTCAACAAGCTAAAATAAACAACGGGTTTGCCTCCATTAATCCCACCATAGCTTTAAGCGTCATCGAATGTCCTTAAAATCTTTCACCTTTCGCTGAGCTCAGAATCCGGAATCACTTGCCTCGACTAGTCGATATACGGAATGTTTATAACCTTACGAAAACAACGGGGAAGAAACAGTTTAGAAACAGTAACGAATTCACTTCGAAGTACAATTCGAAGAACTCCAAAAGGAAACCACTACAGCACTCAACACTGACATAGATTGAACATAAGACTGAAGACTGGTTAAACACTTCGACACCTTCTCTACACTTTTTCTTAAGACAAATGTTGCCCACGCTCTATGATCAGCATTCAGACAGTTGAACAACCTGACCTTAACCCTTTTATTTACTGCCTTTTTCTTTTTAATGGCAGGGTATGTTGCGAAATATAACTCGTATATAATGCTTAGATATTTGCAAAACTCCGGACCGCAGGTGTATGCGGTGGCGAACGAACGCGCGCTATTGTCCTTACCGGGGAGTAGCGCACTTCACCACCACACCATCCGGTACCTTCGTCTTGCCTGTCTCTCAGCTAGTTGACCAACCTGATATTTCATGATGCTGAGATATTTGTAAAACTTGGATCGCAGCCCAGATTCGAACGCTCAATTACACTTTTCGGGTGATCACATGTTACTCACTACACCACTGAGGCACATGGTTTGCCCTTCCATTAGCCCGCTTTCTACCTAACTGTGTCATCAATAGTCACCTGTCAACGAGAATGATCTTGGAAGCACAAATTAACTACTAAACCTAGTTAAGTTACCTAGTGTGCCACTGACATCTTTACTTTGCCTTTCCCTCAGCCAACTACCGGAAAGAGTAATCACGAGTTCGAATCTGGGGTAGAGCCCGAGGTTTTGCAAATATCTCAGCACCATAGTGGTTGTGTTTCACATCATACCTTACCGCGAAAACGTAATAAAAGCCAGTAAATAAGAAGTAAACAAATATATATGTTGGTCGTGCGAAGATCCAACATTTCAAGCCAGCCTTCCACATGTGACAGAATAACACGGCCATTAAATCCACATAACATACCTTCACCGAAAACATAGGCATCGTAAGAGACAAGCTAACAAAAGGCTCTGTTCTATACATTGCCGCTAAGCAAACACGAGCTGTTATTTTAATTCTTTATTAAGACGAAACTGACGTTCTGGCAGATGTCGCCTTCTTCAGAGCTTGGAAAGGTCAAGTAAACCGCAATCTACCCAGCCCTAAACACC